GTGCTATCCTGATTACTGTGGCTTTATAGTAATTCTTAAAGTTTACTATAATCCTGCATCTTTATTTTCCCTTTACCAAATTGTCTTGTCTATTCCTTTTGCCTATTTATAGAATTTAGAATTGTCTATCTTTATAAAAATTTCTGCTGGAATTTTGATTAGACTGCCTGATGAGATGGTATGTCATTCTGTTTGTTTAGGTCTTTTAAAAATTTCATCACTGTTTTATGATTCCAGTATACAAATCCTATACATGTTTTGTTAGTATATACCTAAGCATCTTATTTTTGTTAGAGATACTGCAAATGCTGTTTTCAAAGTATTCAATTTCTAGGGATGCCTGCGTGGCTCAGTCGGTTGGGCAGCTGCCTTCGTCTCAGGTCATGATCCTGGCGTCCTGGGATCAAGTCCCGCCCTGGGATCGAGTCCCGCATTGGGCTCCTTGCTCAGTGGGGGCCTGCTTCTCCCTCTGTCTCTGCCTGCCACTCTGTCTGCCTGTGCTGGAGCTCTCTCTCTCTCTCTGACAAATAAATAAATTAAAAAAAAAAAAGTATTCAATTTCTAGTTGTGCAGTGCTAGTAAACAGAGCTGTGGCTGACTTTTGTGTTTTGACCTGTCCTGCAATGGTGTCAGACTCACTTTTTAGTTCTAGGAGCTTTTTTTGGCTCCTAGAATTTGGAATTTCTACATCATCTAGATCATCATCTAGATCATCATGATGTCTGCAAAATAGGGATAATTTTATTTCTTTCTTTCCATTCTGTTTGCCTTTTATCTTTTGTCTTATTTCACTGGCTGAGACATCCCATATAATGTTTAATAGAAGTAGTAAGAATGGACATCCTTGTCTTGGTCCCAGTCTCAGGGGAAAAGCATATCGTTTTCTACCACTAAGTATGATCTTAGCTGTCAGTTTTCTGTAGGTGCCCTTTATCAGGTGTAGAAAGGTTTTATTTCTAGTTTTCAGAGAGTTTATCTTTAGGAATGAACATTGTATTTTGTCAAATGCTCTTTTTGCATCTGACCTAAACATTTTTTAGTTTGTTAATATTTTGGATTATATTGATTAATTTTCAAATGTTGAATTGGCCTTCCATTCCTGGGATAAATTCCCACTGCTTCGAGGTTTTTATATATGGCTTGATTGGTTGAGGATTTTGCTTGTTGTTGAGAGATTTTGTGTCTATGTTCATGAGAGGCATTTGTTTTTGTACTGTCTTTGTCTATTTTGGGTATCAGGATATTACTGGCTTTTTAAAATGATTCGAAAGATGTTCTTTTGTATTTTCTGGTAGCAATTGTATGAAATTGGTGTTATTTTTTTCTAACATCTTTTGTGGTTCTTCATTTGTAACATTTTGTAATTGTTTTCCCTTTCTAAAGAATTTTTTTTTTAAAGATTTTATTTATTTATTTGACAGAGAGACAGCAAGAGAGGGAACACAATCAGGGGGAGTGGGAGAGGGAGAAGCAGGCTTCCCACTAAGCAGGGAGCCAGATGCAGGGCTTGATCCCAGGACCCCAGGATCATGACCTGAGCCGAAGGCAGCTGCTTAACAAGTGAGCCACCCAGGTGCTCCCTGAAGAAATTTCCTTAGCTTATTTTAGAGCATGTCTGCTGACTACAAATTCTCTCAGTTTTCTTTAGTTTCTGAAAGGATAATATTCTCTCAATGTAAAAGCATTGCTCCGCCATCTTCTGACTTCCATAGTTTCTGATGAGAAATCTGTAGTAATCATGTCGTCACTTGTCTAAGTAGGGGCTGTAGGCTCTGTTCTGTGGGTTGACTACCTGTTTGTTTTCAAAATAAACTTTCAACAAAGCCATACTCATTTGTCTACATATTGTCTGTGGCTGCTTTCACACTGCAGTGGTGATGATGAGTAGTGGTGACAGACCACATGGCCCGCAAACCTAAAATATTTACTGTTTGGCTCTTTAAGAAAAAAATTGGCTGGTCCCTATCTTATACATAAAATGTTCTTTTACTCTTCTTTTAAGATTTTTTCTTTGTCTTTCAGCAATTTGATTATGATATGACCATTATAGTTAGTTTCTTTGGCTATAGCTTGTTTGCTCAGTTTCTTGAATTCTTGGGTATGTCATTCACTGAACTTGGTAAGTTTTCAGCTCGTATGTCTTCATGTATTGTGTAGCACCACGTTGCCACACTCCTTTTTCTCTCCTTCTGGGATTCTGAGTACATGATGAATGTTGGGTTTTTTGTTTTTGTCCACTCAGTCCCTGAAGCTTTATTCCTTTAAGAAACAAACAAAACCTCTCTCTTGCCCCGCCCCCCCTTCAGATGGGATAATTTCTGCTTGATATATCTTAAAGTTTACTGACTCTTTCTTCTGTCATTTCCGTTCTGCAGTTGAGTCCATCCAGTCCTCCCCCAATGAGTGTATATTTCAGTTCTAAGATTTGCATTTGGTTCCTTTCGTATCTTTTCTTTCTCTGCTAACACTTAAGATTTTAACTCTTATTTCAAGAATGTTTGCGATTGCTAATTTAGGCATTTTTCTAACTGCTACCTTTTTTTTTTTTTAAGATTTTTAAAATTTATTTGATAGATCACAAGTAGGCAGAGAGGCAGGCAGGGGGGTTGGGGGGTGGGGGGAAGCAGGCTCCCTGCCGAGCAGAGAGCCCGATGCAGGGCTCCATCCCAGGACCCGGGGATCATGACCTGAGCTGAAGGCAGAGGCTTTAACCACCCAGATGCCCCTAACTACTACTTTAAATTCTCTATCAGATTCCTCCAACATCTTTCTTCTTATCAGTAGCTTCTGTTGATTGTCATTTCCCTTGTGAGTTAAGATTTTCTTGGTTGGTTGCTTGCCAAAGAATTTTGTATTGTTTCTGGACATACTGAACATGATAAAACTTTGGGTCTTCCTTGAATTTATAGAGTGTTGGTATTTTTTGTCTTAACATTGTAGTTTTGTAGGCATCTCAATGACCCAGAATATAGTTATATTAATTTTTTTGAGATTAATTTGGAAATAAAGACAAAATTTAGAAAATTGTCATAAAGAAATTAGAGATCTCCAGGAGTTCTTAGGCTCTACTTTGAAAAAAAGTGGTGTAGAGAAATAGCGAAAGGTAGAAAAATGCTATGATGAGATGTATTATAAAGGATATTATGATATTATCTTTGAATCTATGGTTAGCATTTAAAATTTGTATTACCTAGTGAGAGACCAGGATTGGGGAGGAGGCAGTAAACTTTTAATATCTTTCTTCCTTTGTAATTACAGGCCACTGGTACCAACCCTTGTTTTTTTCTTTAGGACTTATCTTTCATTACATTCTGCTGTTTCTAGTTGCTTTGTCTTTTGGCTTTCTTCCTGTTTAAAATTTTTTTCTCTTGGAGGTAAATTGTTAAGTAACCATCATGTGTGTTAAAGCCTACTTGGTAATACATCAATGATTTAGGAAAAGATTGGTCTTAATGATCAAAATATTAGTTGTAGAATGGTAATTTTTAAATTTTCTTTAGGATATATTTAAAACTGAACCTTTACCAGGCACCTTGTTTTAATAGATATGTAATTTGTGTAGTCATCATTTAATTTGTGATTCTAATATATTTGAGACTGTGCTATAAATCACTCCATGATTTATAAGCTTAATCTCCTTAGGGAAATTGTTTGGCTTATGCTCTGCCTAGATACTTTTTCTTCACAGAATAAGGTAAAATGCAGCTGAAATGATCACGGATTTTGCATCAGTAGGGTCTGTGCCATGGGCTCTCCTGTTCTCCAGCTTTTTCAGTGTGGAGATTTGGCACCGTGCATGGGAAAGCAAGGATTCTGTAAGCAGTTTAGCGAAAGGGTGGGAATTGACTCTGCCACTTCTGAGTTGTGCCCTCAAGCAAGTTAGTGTTCTTTTCCAGGCTGTTTCCTAATCTATAAAATGGGGATAATAGTAATGATACCAGTATCTAGGGTTGTTGGAAGGATTAAATGAGGTGACACATGGACAGAGTTTTAACAGAGAGACTGATGTAGCCTATGTGTGTCAACCTGAACTATTACTGTGTGATAAAAAATTTATCTCAAAGGGGGCCTGGGTGGCTCAGTGGGTAAAGCCTCTGTCTTCGGCTCAGGTCATGATCCCAGGGTCCTGGGATCAAGCTCCACATCAGGTTCTCTGCTCAGCGGGGAGCCTGCTTCCGCCTCTCTGCCTGCCTCTCTGCCTGCTTGTGATCTCTGTCTGTCAAATAAATAAATAAAATCTTAAAAAAAATTATCTCTAGGAGTTCTTTGAGTTTGGGGATGAATACTTTTCTTTCTTTCTTTTTTTTATAAAAGATTTTATTTATTTATTTGACAGAGATCACAAGTAGGCAGAGAGGCAGGCAGAGAGAGAGGAGGAAGCAGGCTCCCTGCTGAGCAGAGAGCCTGATACGGGGCTCCATCCCAGGACCCTGGGATCATGACCTGAGCCAAAGGCAGAGGCTTACCCCACTGAGCCATCCAGGCGCCCCGGGTATGAATACTTTCTTTGTTCAACATTGTTTACTATGAAAATAGAAGATTTTATTTCTGTCTTTTGTGTATATGCTAATAACTGTTATGTTCTTTAGTTTAGCCTTTCATTATAATTATTTTCTAAATTATATTTAGTACCATATTTATCTGTGTAAAACAATAGGGTTATGGGAAGCTGTGTCCCAACCAATCCAGGACTTAGCAGAGAAAATAATCAAAGTTAGAAATAAGACATAGCCCCATATTTTCAGCACAGGAAGCAAGCGTATGAGCTCATTTAATTGTTGACTTTGTCATATTTTAGAAGCTATCAAGTAAATAAAGGGACAGTGTCTTATCTTTTTCTATATCGGGCTTCTGCTTTATTTTTACTGATTATCTCTTAAATGCATATACAACTTGGTCCCCTGTACCTCTTCATAACAGAATGATAAGCCCTTGGATGAATTATGAAATTGCAGTGGTTTATTTTTTGTTTGTTTGTTTTTATCTTTTTTTGTTTATAGGATGATTGAGGAAAGTGGAAACAAGCGGAAGACCATGGCCGAGAAGAGGCAGCTGTTCATAGAAATGCGTGAGTCCTGAGGGCTTCTGGGTTCCTTGTTTGTATGTGTGGGGGTGCCTTTTCTTTTTTTTCCTAATGAAGTCATAACTTTAAGCATTAGCATGTTCCATTTTTAAAAAAAAAGATTTATTTATTTTAGAGACAGAAAGAGAGAGTGCAAGTGGGCCTAGGGCAGAGAGAGAGGGGCAGGGAGAGAATCTCAAGCAGACTCCATACGGATCACGCATTTGCCGTTTTTGGGCCTTTGCTTATGCAGTTGGGCCCACCTTCATCTGCCTTGTTGTTCCTGTTTACCATTCATGGCTCAGCATAGGGGTCATATTTTCATTAATTTTTAAACACATTTATTGAAGATCTGTTATGTTCTAGGCACCATACTAGGTGCTAGGGTTAAGGGGAGAACAGAACACAGTCCCTGACTTCTTGCATATTGCTTACATTTTGGTGAGGGGAAACATACAAAATAAGGAAACCAAGTTGATAAACAAATCCTGATAGTGAGAAGTGCCTGGGGTGCCTTCAGTAAAAAAACGTGACCATGAGGGTAGAATACTACTGTGGTGTAGGAAATAGGTGTTCTGTAAAGAATTGGGTTTGCTGCTTCATGAATGTCATCATTCTGACACGTAGAGCTCAGACAAATTGCCTTTCTCTGTAACAAACTCAAGGGTGTGGACAGTTTTGGAGATGTTTGGTGAGTATGGCTTCTTGTCTCCCCTCTTTCTTCATAGGAAGAATTGCCTTGGTGACAGTGGTGTCTGCTGCTAAAAGTTCTACTCTCTCCTTTCCAACATCCCCCCTGATCTCCAGCCTTATTACCTTCTATGGATGTAAAAGGCATCTTTTGCCAGACTTATCATAGGATTCTACCATCTAAGTTTTGTGTTGATTTTATGGCAATTTTGAATTCACTGATGTTTCTGTTTTATTAGTCTCAGTGGGTAATTAATAGATTTTTACTTGTTGTAGGTATATCCATAACTTTTTTTAAGACTTCACTTTTTTTTAAAAAAAGATTTTATTTATTTGACACAGAGATAGAGATCACAAGGGGGAAGCAGGCTTCCCACTGAGCAGGGAGCCTGATGCGGGGCTCAATTCCAGGACCCTGAGATCATGACCTGAGCTGAAGGCAGAGGCTTAACCCACTAAGCCACCCAGGCACCCCAAGACTTCACTATTTTAGAGCAGTTTTAGGTTCACATAAAACTAAGAAGCAGGTACAGCAAGTTCCCCATAGCACACATGCACGACTTCCCCTGTTAACAACACCACCCCACCAGAGGGTACATTCACTACAACAAATGTGCCTGTGTTGACAAATTGTAACATCCCAAATTTGTGGTTTACATTAGGGTTTATTTTTGATGTTGTACATTCTTTGGGACTATATTATTATTATTATTATTATTATTATTATTATTATTTAAAGATCTTATTTATTTATTTGACAGAGATCACAAGTAGGCAGAGAGGCAGGCAGAGAGAGAGAGGAGGAAGCAGGCTCCCTGCTGAGCAGAGAGACTGATACGGGGCTCGAACCCAGGACCCTGGGATCACGACCTGAGCCAAAGGCAGAGGCTTTAACCCACTGAGCCACCGAGGTGCCCCAAGACACTATATTATTTTTAAAGAAAGATGGTTTTGACTACTGTATTTTAAATTCTTTTTTTTTTTTGGTTTTCTTTTTCTTAGGATTTTTTTTAGTTTTTAATTTTTTATTAACATTAATGTATTATTAGCCCCAGGGGTACAGACCTGTGAATCACTAGGTTTACATACTTCACAGCACTCACCATAGCACATACCCTCCCCAATGTCCATAATCCAACCACCCTCTCCCTACCCCCCTCCCCCAGCAACCCTCAGTTTGTTTTGAGAAGATTGAGAGTCTCTTATGGTTTGTCTCCCTCCCTCCTGATCCCATCTTGCTTCATTTTTTCCTTCCCTACCCCCCAAACCCCCCACGTTGCCTCTCAAATTCTTCATATCGGGGAGATCATATGATAATTGTCTTTCTCCGATTGACTTATTTCGCTCAGCACAATACCCTTTAGTTTGATCCATGTTGTTGCAAATGGCAAGATTTCATTTCTTTTGATGGCTGCATAGTATTCCATTGTGTGTGTGTGTGTGTGTGTGTGTGTGTGTGTGTGTGTCTTTTTTATTCATCTGTTGATGGACATCTAGGTTCTTTCCATAGTTTGGCTGTTATGGACATTGCTGCTATAAACATTCAGGTGCACATGCCCCTTCAGATCACTACATTTGTATCTTAAGGGTATATACCCAGTAGTGCGATTGCTGGGTCATAGGGTAGCTCTATTTTCAATTTTTTGAGGAATGTCCATGCTGTTTTCCAGAGTGGCTGCACCAGATTTCATTCCTACCAACAGTGTAGGAGGGTTCCCCTTTCTCAGCATCCTCACCAGCATTCTATCATTTCCTGACTTGTTAATTTTAGCCATTCTGACTGGTGTGAGATGGTATCTCATTGTGGTTTTGATTTGTATTTCCCTGATTCTGAGTGATGTGAAGCTCTTTTTCATGTGTCTGTTGGCTATGTGGATGTCACCTTTGCAGAAATGTCTGTTCATGTCCTCTGCCCATTTCTTGATTGGATTCTTTGTTCTTTGTGGAGTGTTGAGTTTGATAAGTTCTTCTTCTTCTTTTTTTTTTTTTTAAGATTTTATTTATTTATTTGACAGACAGATCACAAGTAGGCAGAGAGGCAGGCAGAGAGAGAGGGGGAAGCAGGCTCCCTGCCGAGCAGAGAGCCCGACGCAGGGCTCAATCCCATGACCCTGGGATCATGACCGGAGCCGAAGGCAGAGGCTTTAACCCACTGAGCCACCCAGGTGCCCCGAGTTTGATAAGTTCTTTATAGATTTTGGATACTAGCCCTTTATCTGATATGTCGTTTGCAAATATCTTCTCCCATTTTGTCCGTTGTCTTTTAGTTTTGTTGACTATTTTGTTGCAAAAGCTTTTGATCTTGATGAAGTCCCAATAGTTCATTTTTGCCCTTGCTTCCCTTGCCTTTGGCGATGTTTCTAGGAAGAAGTTGCTGCGGCTGTCGAATAGGTTGCTACCTGTGTTCTCAAGGATTTTGATGGCTTCCTTCCTCACATTGAGGTCCTTCATCCATTTTGAGTCTATTTTTGTGTGTGGTGTAAGAAAATGGTCCAGTTTAATTCTTCTGCATGTGGCTGTCCAATTTTCCCAATACCATTTGTTGAAGAGACTGTCTTTTTTCCATTGGACCTTCTTTCCTGCTTTGTCAAAGATTAGTTGACTGTAGAGTTGAGGGTCTATTTCTGGGCTCTCTATTCTGTTCCATTGATCTATGTGTCTGTTTTTGTGCCAGTACCATACTGTCTTGATGATGACAGCTTTGTAATAGAGCTTGAAGTATGGAATTGTGATGCCACCAACTTTGGCTTTCTTTTTCAACATTCCTCTGGGTATTTGAGGTCTTTTCTGGTTTCATATAAATTTTAGGATTCATTGTTCAATTTCTTTGAAAAAATTTGATGGTATTTTGATAGGGATTGCATTAAATGTGTAGATTGCTTTAGGTAGCATAGACATTTTTACAATATTTGTTCTTCCAGTCCATGAGTATGGTACGTTTTTCCATATCTTTGTGTCTTCCTCAATTTCTTTCATGAGTACTTTATAGATTTCTGAGTACAGATTCTTTGCCTCTTTGGTTAGGTTTATTCCTAGGTAGCTTATGGTTTTGGGTGCAATATGCTGTGGGTTTTTCATAGATAGCTTTGATGATGTTGAGGTATGTACCCTCTATCCCTACACTTTGAGAAGTTTTGATCAGGAAAGGATGCTGTACTTTGTCACGTGCTTTTTCAGCATCTATTGAGAGTATCCTATGGCTCTTATTCTTTCTTTTATTAATGTATTTTATCACATTGATTGATTTGTGGATGTTGAACCAACCTTGCAGCCCAGGAATAAATCCCACTTGGTTGTAGTGAAAACTGAACCAGGAAGAAATAGAAAACTTGAGCAGACCCATAACCAGTAAGGAGATTGAAGCAGTCATCAAAAATCTCCCAACAAACAGGAGTCCAGGGCCAGACGGCTTCCCAGGGGAATTGTACCAAACATTCAAAGAAGAATTAATACCTATTCTCCTGAAACTGTTCCAAAAAAATAGAAATGGATGGAAAACTTCCAAACTCATTTTTTGAAGCCAGCATTACCTGATCCCAAAACCAGACAAAGACCCCATCAAAAAAGAGAATTACAGACCAATATTCTTGATGAACACAGATGCGAAAATTCTCACCAGAATATTAGCCAGTAGGATCCAACAGTACATTAAAAGGATTATTCACTACGACCAAGTGGCTTGATGCCAGGCCTCCCAGCTCAGAGATTCTGATTTTATTTTTCCTTTTCCAAAATTTTGTCAATTTTATTGGTCTTTTCAAGGAACTTTGGCTATGTTGGTCCTCTGTGTGTATCTTTGTTTCTGCCTCATTATTTTGTACTATTGTGTTTATTACTTTCTTCTTTTTACTTAAGGGAATTCTGATGTTCTTTTTCCAATTTCTTATGTTAGGTAACTTGGGCCATTTATTTTCTGACTTTTTTCCTCTTATGTAAGCACTTAAGAACTTCTTTCCTGTGATTTTCTATTTTTGCATTTCATGTGTTCTGATAGATGCCATTTTCGTGATCACTTCTCTGTGTTTTCTAACTTCTGTTAGGAATTATTTAAATTTACAAATGAATGACTTTTAATTAAAAATGTTAATTAAATATTTAATTAAATAATATTTAGCTTAATTGGTATGTGGGTCAGAGAATGAAGGATGTTCTAGAATCTTTGAAGTTGATATTTTTTGTTATATGTTTTTGTAAATATTCCAGTGTGCTTGAAAATAATGTGTATGATTTCTTCATTATTTAGATTTAACTTGTTACATGTTTTATTCAGACCGTTTTCGTTCTTAATGATTTGACTGCTTAATTACTGAAAGTCGTTAAAAATCTCTGCTTTGATCATGGACTTTAATTTTTTACCCCTTAGTTCTGTCAGTGATTTGACCTTTTGTTCTTAGATGCACATGTATTAAAATATTACATCTACCTAGGAAATTGAATATATTGAATATTATGAAGGTATACTCTTTTTAAAAAATATTTTTTGTTTTTTTTATAGTTATACTCTTTTTCTAGTGATGCTTTTTACTGTGAAGTTTATTTTGTTGTTATTAATATAGCTGTACTGGGGTCGCCTGGGTGGGTCAGTCATTAAGCATCTGCTTTCGGTCAACCCTGGTCATGATCCCAGGGTTCTGGGATCAAGTCCCATGTCAGGGTCCCTGCTCAGCAGGAAGCCTGCTTCTCCCTCTCCCACTCCCCCTGCTTGTGTTCCTTCTCTCGGGCAGAGGGAGAGGGCGAGAATGAATCCTAAGCAGAGTCTGAGCTGGGCATGGAGCCCAACATGGGGCTTGATCCCATGACCCTGAGATAATGACCTGAGCTGAAGTCAAGAGTCAGATGCTTAACTTACTAAGCCACCCAGGCTCCCCTGATCTTTATGTTTTATGTATCTCTCCTATAAGCAGTGTAAGCTAGATTATTTAACAACAGCAACAACAACTATTGTCTCTGCTTTTTCACTGAAGAATTTATCCTGTTTAATTGTTTTTATGAGTACAGAGGGATTTCACATTTTCTTCCATCTTGTTTTGTGCTTCAACTGTGTCCTTTCTCTGTTGTTTTTTCTTCCTTTCTTATCTTCCTTAGATAAAATGAGTTTCCTTCCTTCTGGTCCATTTTTCCCTCTTCTTGGTTGTGAGTTCTATATTCTTTTCCTGTTCTTTTCGTGGCTACCCTAGAAAGTCTAACATCAATTAAAATGAAATCCAGAGCTTATCAACATTTACAACTTATTCGAAGCAATACAGGAATATTAGACTGTTTTAGAGCACCTCCCTTATGAAATACATGCCATTTTTAAAAAAAGATTTTATTTATTTGACAGAGAAAGACACAGAGAGAGAGGAAACACAAGCAGGGGGAGTGGGAGAGGGAGAAGCAGGCTTCCGGCTGAGCGGGGAGCCCGATGTGCGGTTCAATCCCAGGACCCTGGAATCATGACCTGAACCAAAGGCAGACGCTTAATGTCTGAGCCACCCAGGTGCCCCAATACATGCTATTTTTAGTATTCTCTTTTTTAACATCATACATTAGACTTAAGAATGCTTTCGTATGGTCAGTTTTTCTTTTGTCTAACCTATTTGATTATAACTTTATTTGCTTTAAAAATTTAAATCTAAGTTTAGGTGGAGCCAGTCATGTGTTCCTGTTTCCCTTTGTGGGATTTTTTTTTTTTCCTTTTCTTTCTAGTTCACCCACTGAAAGAGTCACCATTCTGTGGTCTATACCTTCTTCTCTGTTGGGACTTCTGGCTTCATCTCTGGTCCCCAGGATTTCTAATCAGACAGCCAAGAAAAAAAACAAGGAAGTCATTTATGTTTATTTTTGTTACTTATTCAGACTCCTATTCTCTTGAAACATTTTGGTTCTTAAAAGTTGTTGTAAAGGAGCACCTGGGTGGCTCAGTTGTTAAGCATCTGCCGTAGGCTCGGGTCATGATCCTGGGGTCCTGGGATCGAGCCCCGCGTCAGGCTTCCTGCTCGGTGGGAAGCCTGCTTCTCCCTCTCCCACTCCTCCTGCTTGTGTTCCCTCTCTCTCTCTCTCTCTGTCAAATAAATAAATAAAATCTTAAAAAAAAAAAAGTGGTTGTTAAGGTTTCAGACAATTCAGAAAAGTTACTCTCCTTACATTTACTAGGTTTGTTACCTCTTCTCTTTCTCCTTCTCTCCTTTTCATCTCGTTAGTTAGATGGCTTTTTAACAAAATATACTTACTGCCTTACACCTTCTGAAGGTGTGCCAAGCTCCTCCACCGAATCCTGTGGCTCCCTATAGCCTGCAGTCTGGAATCCTGTGCTCTGTCTGAAGAAGGCATCAACATGTTTGTACAGGGAAAGGAGTTGGTTTCACCACTACCTTTATCATCTCCTTGTATTAGCTTTTCAAAATTGTATAGTTTGTGTAATATTTTGACTTTACTTAGTATGTTTTTTGGGGAAAGCAGATCAGTCTTTTTTTTTTTTTTTTTAAGGGTTTTAATTTATTTATTTGACAGGCAGAGATCACAAGTAGGCAGAGAGGCAGGCAGAGAGAGAGAGAGGAGGAAGCAGGCTCCCCACTGAGCAGAGAGCCTGATGCATGGCTCAATCCCCGGACCCTGAAATCATGTCCTGAGCTGAAGCAGAGGTTTTAACCCACTGAGCCACCCAGGCGCCCCACAGATCAGTCTTTTATATCAGCAACACAACTTTCTAATGTTCAGTTATCTATTCATTCAATAAATATTTCAGGTGCTGGTTTTATTACGTCCTAGTTTTGGGCATATAATAGTGAACAACACAACAATTAAATGGTCTCTACCTTCGTGAAACTTATTTTCCTAGAAATGGAAATAAGGAATGATAGGGCAGTAAGAGCCATGACTGGGGATTCCCGGGGGGTCCAGGAAGGGAACTGAAAGGAAGCGATGTGCAGGCTGCGTCAGTTCAGGGTTGTGATGGAGAAAGGCTGAGCTGTGAGCAGCACTTACAAGGCTGAGATGAGAGAGCTCGGCGTGTTTGGGTAATTATATGTAGCTTGTACTGATTGCAGGTAGGTGTGAGGTAAAATTTGAGAGTTGCACGGGCCAGACCTTGAAGCTGAGTTGGGTAGTTATGTGTTTCCCAAACCTAGCTTGATTATAGGACTTTCTGGAATGAAGGTTCCAGGTTCCTCTCCAGGAGACTCTGATAAAAGCTTCTGATACAAGCAGATACAATAAAACCCTTGCATTTGACTCTTTGCTTTCCTTGGGATTTGGTTATACTATAGAAGTTTTTATCCTATTCTCATGAATGAGGAGAGCCATGATACAGAAAGAAGGGTTAACCCTTTCTTATCCTTTCTCTGTACCTCTTGGGTACTCAGTATTTTTAGATTGTCTCCTGTCCGTCCAGGAGCTTCACTGGGCTCTCCCCCGTCACTAGAGTTCTGCCTGTGTGTTTAGTTAGGACCCTCAGTACCATTTCTTGATAAGCTTGAAATATACTGTCTGACACTAGTATTAAAGTGACATTTCCGTGTATTTCTTACAATGAAATGTTCTCAAAATGAATGATAATGGAGTGGAGAGTCATCTTTTCTAGTTCATAATGCTCAAAGGGATAACATAATCAGTTTCTTCACTGGGGGCTTTCTGTTCTATTTTTTATGTGCCAAACTACCACATTTTTTGATCAGGAAATTGACATGACACTTACATAAGGGAAATTTTTTAAAAAGGGAGGCTATTCTTAGAGCAGTGTATGAGGATTTTCCTTATAGAAACCAGGAAAGATGACTGCTTCAGAAGAAGGTAAATGTATGAGAGAAATGACAAAGGAAAACAGAGTGATACTTGATTCTTGACTAGCATCTGGAACTTCAGAGTGGAGATTTCCTGCAAACTAGGCTGGAGCTTGTGGGGTTTCCCATTTTCCTCAACTAGTTCGCTTTGGACTTGTGTGATATTTGCCATATTTCATTTTGCAGTACCCAAGTCTGACTTAACTGTACTGGAGGAAGAATCTGCATAGTGAGTTCTGTGCCACGTGCATGGACGCTCCACTAGCGAACATGGCCCCAAAAATGTCGTGTGGTCTCATCCATCAGATTAGCGCTCTTTCTGTTTGGTTAGTCGGGGATGGGACTTTCCCAGCTGCTCATCACTGATTTCCTAATATTTCCCAAAGAAGAGGTACAGAAGGAAAAATTCACCATGGTGATGAGTGTTCTCCCTCGGGGTTTTTGTCCGGCTGGTAGACGGGATAATGTAGGCAGACCTGCTGACCTGGAGTGGTCACGTAGAAAGTGCGCCTAATGCTTCCTGACCCCTTTAGTCTTCTCAGAAGAAGGCCTAGTTGACGTGTGACGCGGGGCCCCTGCCTGCGCCGTGGAATGGTCACTTCCTAGCGCTGAGAAACGCGGGGGTCAATCCCACTGAACATCTGCTGTTTGTACTTTTTTCAGGTGCTCAGAATTTTGATGTCATACGACTATCAACTTATAGAACAGCTTGCAAACTACGATTTGTACAAAAACGATGCAACCGTAAGTCATTTCAGCTAATTTCTATGACAGCTGGATAGTGCACTCAGTAATATAAAATAAAAGGTTTTAGTATCTTTTAGTCATATTGTAATGTTGGTTGAATTATTTTCGTCTTAAGGGTTTATTAAAATGTAAGCTTTGTCATGGAAAAAACTCGTCTTTTACTCTGTGTGTCCCTCAAAATATTTACCAAAATTCAGTAATGTAACTGGTTTTGAGGCTGGCATAGTATTAATGTACTTTAAGTGAAAAGAATTGATTTCTCCTTCTCACTTGTTTTAAATGATAACTTTAATACAAAGTATTAATGTACTTTAAGTGAAAAGAATTGATTTCTCCTTCTCACTTAAATGATAACTTTTATACAAAAAGAGGAACTTTTATACAAATTATTATACAAAATAATACAATAATCAGCTTCAGGAAGAAAAAAACAATATTTTGATAGAGGTGTAATAAGTTATTTTTCTCGATTAAAATAAATACAGCACGAATCAGCCTTTTCTATAATAATTATGAGAATTACTACTTATAAAATAAATAAAATATGTGTGTGTAAAATCTTTTTTCTCTTAATTTCCATGAAGATAAACTAACTTATGACAAAATAATTATACTTTTCTCATGTGTGTGTGTATTAATGAAGAACTGTTTTGTATAATGGAAAGAACATTAGCTTTAGAATTGGAAAAACCTGGGTTTTAGTCCTGGTTTTTGGCATTTACTACAAACATGTCTCTGTATATCTAAATACTTCCACCCTACTTTAACTGTTATTCAAAAATCTTAGCATAAAATTCTCTCTGGAGGATTTACCATGCTGTCCTAGACTGAGGTCTCTGGTTTCCTAAAGCATTGTTTTTCAAATTATGGGTTGTGACCGATTAATGGTTCATGAAATCGTTTTGAAGAGCTGTAGCCAGAATTTAAAACATGCAATAGAGAAAAACAGAGAAAGAAAAAAAAAAAAAGCACAGCACAAATTATGTGGTAAGTCTAAAAGTACTTTGTGGAAAAGTATTTTTGTTTTTTATATATCTAGAAGAATATGTGTGTGTGTGTGTGTGTGTGTGTGTGTGTGTGTGTTTTGATTTAAATATATTTCTGTGGGTTGCGGTAAAAAAGTTTGAAAACCACTGTCAGAGCAACTACCATTTTAATAATTCTTCCTGTAATTATTTTTGGGAAATAGTAGTCTATGTGTGGAGTGTTGAGAGCCTGAAACCAGTCTACTGGCATTAGTAATGTACAGTAAAAGATGCATTATTCTGGAAGTTTTATTTTGTTACATAGGATTCTTTAATCAGATGGAAATTTTTTGTGTGTGGGTGTACAGTTTAAGCAGGAGCAAAATGTCAGTATTGTCCAAACGCATGTTCTATGGTCTCTACACTGTTTATTGAAAAAAAAAAATTCTTTTTCTTCACTGCCCCCAAATCTTTCCTCATACAAATTAGGAGAAATATAAAAGAATGTTCATAGCAGTTTCTGTATATGAGAGGACCTGCTTTTGGACTCTTGTCTTCCACTGGTCTGTTTGTCTATCCTACCAATAACCACTATTACAGCTTTATAATAACTCTTTTTTTTTTTTTAAAGGTTTATTCATTTATGGGGCGCCTGGGTGGTTCAGTCGTGAAGCAGCTGCCTTCATCTCAGGTCATGATCCCAGAGTCCTGGGATCGAGCCCCACATCGGGCTCCCTGCTCTGCAGGAATGCAGGAAGTCTGCTTCTCCCTCTTCTCCCCATTTGTGCTCTCTCTCACTATCTCTGTCACTATCTGTGTGTCTTTCTCTCAAATAAATAAATAAAAATAAAATCTAAAAAAAAAAGATGTATTCATTTGTTTGAGAGAGAGTGAGATTGTGGGGGTCTTGGAGCAGAGAGAGAGGGAGAGAGAGAATCTTAAGCACACTCTGTGCTAAGCAGGGAACACAACTCAGGGCTCAATTCCTTTTTTTTTTTTAAAGATTTTATTTATTTATTTGACAGGGGGACACAGCAAGAAAGGGAACAGAAGCAGGGGGAATGGGAGAGGGATCCCAGAACCCTGGGATCATGACCCAAGCCAAAGGCAGACACTTAAGGACTGAGCCACCCAATTCCAACCCTGAGATCATGGCTTGAGCCAGTATCAAGAGTCAGATGCTTAACTGACTGAGCCACCCAGGCGCCCTGCTTTATAAGTCTTAATATCAGATAGAGCAAGTCTTCCTACTTTGTTCTGTTTTTCTTTTTTAAATTGGCCTTTTACATTTATTTTCATATACATTTTAAAATCTGATCCTCAATTTCTACTAAAAACAAAATGAAACAACTCCTGGGATTTTTTTCCATCTTTCTTTTTTTAAGTACAATTTACATATAGTAAAATTTATCCTTTTAATGGAGAGCCCTGTGGCATTTTGTTGGGACTGCACTGAATCTATAGGTTAAGTTGGGGAAAACCAACATATTTCCAATTTGAGATTACCTTCTATGAACATGGTATATCCCTCTATTTATTTAGGTCTTTAATTTCTGCCAATTATATTTATAGATTTTTTTTTTTTTTTGTAGAGATGTTACACTTCCTCCATTGGATTTATTACTATATCTTTGATGATTTATGCTACTATTACAAATAGTATTTTAAAATTTCACTTTCTGTTAGTAATGGAAATACGGAGACTTTTATATCTTGACTTGCATCTAACAATCATTCTAGACTCAAATATCAATTTTAGTAATTTATCTGGAGAATCTGATTTTCTATGTGGAGAATTTTATCATTTCTGAATAATGACAGTTAAGTTTCTTCATTTCTGAAACTCACATGGCTAATTACTGCTTGTTTATATTGGTTAGGACCCAGAGTACAATAGAAATGATGATAGTGGGCATTGTTTTTTTTTTTTTAACCTTTAAAAAAATGATTTATTTATTTATTTATTAGAGAGATAGAGCATGATTGTGTGAGCATGCAGAGGGGCAGAGGGAGAGGGGCAGGGAGAGAATCTGAAGCAGACTCCTCGCTGAGCATAGAGCCTGACATGGTGCTCGATCTCACGGCCCTGAGATCATGGCCTGAGCTGAAATCAAGAATTGGATGCTTAACTGACTGAGCCACCCAGGCGCCCCATTTCTTTCTTACTTTTCTTTTTTAAGTTGACGTATACAACATAGTGATTCTACCACAGGTGCAGCTACCCTCTGTCCCCGTACAGTGCAGGACAGTACCATTGACTGTGTTCCCTGTGCTTTCCTTTGTATTCCCATGTATTATTTATTCCCTAATGAGAAGCCTATGTCTCTCATTTCCCTTGTTCCATTTTGTCCATCTCTCTCTCTCTCTCCCTCTGGCAACCACCAGTTTGCTTTCTGTATTTATGCACCTGTTTCTGATTTTTGTTTGTTCTTTTGTTTTATATATAAGTGAACATACAAGTGGAATCATATGATGTTTGTCTTTCTCTGACTTACTCCACTTAGTGTAATACCCTCTACATCCATCCATGTTGTTGCAAATGGTAAAATCTCATCATTTTTTATGGCTGAATACTATTCCATCCTGTATACGTACCACATCCTCTTTACTCATTTGTCTATTGATGGACACTTGGATGCTACGTATATTGGCTAATGTAAATGAACAGTGCAGTAAGCAGACAGGTGCATACATCTTTTCGAGTTAATATCTTCATTTTCTTTAGGTAAATACCCACTAGTGGAATTACTGGTTCGTATGATAGTTTCATTTTTAATTTTTTAAGGAACCTCCATACTGTTTTCCACAGTTACTGTACCAATTTACCTTTGATAGTGGGCATTTCTTATCTCATTCACAATATCAGAGGAAGGACTTTCAACATTCTATTATTAAGTCATATGTTTGCCACAGTTTTCTATAAATACCCTTAATCAGATTAAGGACATTGCCTAGTACTGTGTGTTTCTTCATTTCTGAGTGTAAGGTTTATTTGAAAAGTGGTCTTTTTGATGATTTGTAATTTAATCTCATTTTAATCAGATAGCATGGTTAATATGACTTGAATCCTTTGACATTTGCCAAAATTAGCTTTATGACTCAGAATAAGTTCAATTTTCACACACACTGTTTGTGTTCTTGAAAGTAGAGCGTATTCTCTAATCACTGGGGGCAGGATTTCATACAGTGCCCATTACGCCTTCTTCACTGGTTGTAATGTTGAATTGTCTACATCTGCACTCTGTACCTTTGCTCTATCGCTTACTAAGAGACATGTGTTAATAGCTCCCACTAAGCTTGTGAATTTATCTCTCTGGTGTTCTGTTATATTTGACAATATAGCTTTTGTAGGGGAGGCAAGACCTTACCTCTACCCTCTTAGGGTCTCTGGTCATACCTGAGAGCCAAATTGTTATAAGACAGATTAGCAGAAGAGCACACAGATTTTTCCATGTACCTGGGAGCCCCTATAGCAAAGTGAAGACCCGAAGGAGGGATGAGGCCTAAGTGCTGATATACTAGGGAAGAGGGAGTAGCAATTGTGGAAAAGTAACTAAAATATATGGGGAGTCTCAAGGAAGATAAGGGTTATTTTAATAAAATCTGTACAGATTTCTCTTGGCCTTGATTCACTGTCTCTGGGAATAAGAATGTTTCTTTACCCTTGGAATAGAGAAGGCATCTTTCACTTGGGAGTTTGTTTCCTGCTTTCAGGAAGAAAAGAGAAGTTCGGCATGAACTTCTTGATACAGGCTGTTTTTCAGGTGTCAGAATTGCTCAAAATAATCCTTATGCCAAAGTGGCATATTTTTGGATCTTCCTCTGCCACCCTTCACCGCTCTGTCAGATGTAAATAAACAAAAAGGTCTTAACACCTTTCTGATGAATTAGAACTTTTAAATTGTTGACCGTTCATTTTCTTTGTTTTAGTCCACCTGGTTGATATCTGGAACATGATTGAAGCCTTCCGAGACAATGGCCTTAATACACTGGACCATACCACTGAGATCAGTGTGTCCCGCCTCGAAACCGTCATCTCCTCTGTCTACTACCAGCTGAACAAGCGCCTTCCTTCCACTCACCAGATCAGTGTGGAGCAGTCCATCAGCCTCCTCCTCAACTTTATGATTGCTGCATACGACAGGCCAGTGCTTGGCATGCTTCCTGCATTTTCACAATGTTTGTCCCTTCGTCCTGCTTCTTCCAGATTGCCTTGCTGAGGGTTGTCAACTTAGAATCACAGTGACAAGGAAAATTATTCCATATAAGTTCCTTCTAAGGACTGGTTAAATGCCAGAGTGACTCACTGTCCTAGGGCGTGTCACATAGTAAGCGTTATAAAATTATGGAGAATCACAACACTGAGACATGTTGTTTGGTCATATTATAGGTCCCTTAGTGTAGCTGCTCTCTAGCCAGAGAAGTATAGCTAAGCTGTGAATTTGATTATGAGGCTTTCTATTGGACCTTAAAACTGACCTTTCTTTTCTCTGTAATAGTAAATGCCCCTTGACTCTAATCTTATTTTCTTCTCGTTATGTTTAGGATACTATTTTAATTTTTTTCAGTGCAGAACATTGTGTTTACACCTTGTAATCCTGGATGAAAACTATTTGAATGTACTCCAAATTAAAACAGAAATGATTTGCTGTATTTGTATTCATGGAGAATGAAGTTGGTGTTATAAGAAACAAAAAGAAATCATAAGTGATGGAGCTACAAAAGTTAATGTTTATATTCCAGGAAGCAAGAGTTTAGATTTTTGATTTCTGCTATATTGTTGATCATCCGGTTTGGATGGGTGAATTCTTTCTGCTTCATTTTTTCTCTCCGTAAACCTATTTTGATTTCATACATTTGTAAGATGTTATTCATTACACTTTATAATATTGAAGACTCTGTGAATTAATTGTAAAAGTCTGCAGGTGTCAAAGCCAAATTGCAGTGTAGGCACTCACTAAATTCACATTTTTATTTTTATTATTTATTTATTTAAAGATTTTATTTATTTATCTGGCAGAGACACAGCAGGAGAGGGAACACAAGTAAGGGGAGTATGAGAGGGAGAAGCAGGCTTCCCACTGAGTAGGGAGCCTGAGGCAAGGTTTGATCCCAGCACCCTGAGATCATGACCTGAACCAAAGATATATGCTTAAGCAACTGAGCCAACCAGGCACCCCAGGAAATTTGAAATTTTAAAACAAAAGTCCACATGAGACACAAGTTCCAGAACTTGAATGTCATTTTTTTAGTAATTTAGACTAGTGAATCCCTAAGGTTAATTTTATACTGTTCAAGGAATGAGTCTTTTGATCCAAAGACCTTAGTAAAAATGGTTATTCTGTGGTGAATAAGCAGCACCTTATCATGACACTAATTCACTGAGTAAATCACTTCAGGGTTGTACAACACAGATAAATCCAATAAACAATCTTTTTTACTAAATCAGAGATAAAAGTCATCTTACTGTTTAAAAAATCTTACTGTTTAAAAAAAAGTCATCTTACTATTTTAAAAGAGATTATAAACTTTGATTCCATACTCATGTCAAATAAGTTAAATACTATGGCTATGGAAGGAAGGAGAAGGAAGAGCAAAGAGACAGTAAGAGACAACAGGAAGACCAAACTTAGGAGCCGAAGGTGCAGAGGAGTCCTGGGACGTAGTCCCAGACACCTGGACACATCCAGATAGAGACAAAGGAAAAGAATAAGCAAACAGTAAGTTATATGAAGACGAGTCAGTAGAGCAGCACACCATAGAGAACTAGGGGGAAAATAAAACAAACAAAACAAAACTGAAAAAAGATGAGTGAGTTAAGAAGAGGAAGGACAGTAGTATGTCAGTGGTGAATTTGGTAATTCTCATGTCATATTGTATTGAAAACTTTGCCCATGGGCATCAGAATCAATCCTCACATCATTGCTAACCTTGAACTCTTATATATATGATAATATCTTATTTGTTCTTCAGTAATTTGAAATTGGCTTTTATGTACTGGTAAAATGAAAGGATCTGGTTATTGGAATTTTATTTTTGAAAATTATAGCGTTTTGTTTTGAAACATTTCAAATATTAGTCTATTCATTGGCCTCTTTATTAGGCTTGAGAGTCCCTTTGATATGTAGAGTATCTAGTTATTGATTTTAATTAGTCTTCTTGGGATTTTGTATTTCATAATTCCTTTTTTTTTTTTTAAGATTTTATTTATTTGACAGACAGAGATCACAAGTAGGCAGAGAGGCAGACAGAGAGAGAGGAGGAAGCAGGCTCCCTGCTGAGCAGAGAGCCTGATGTGGGACTCGATCCCAGGACCCTGAGATCATGAGCTGAGCCGAAGGCAGAGGCTTAACCCACTGAGCCACCCAGGAGCCCCTGTATTTCATAATTCTTGAGTTAAAGTTTGAATGCAACAATTATTTAATTATTCTTAAGTCCCCTAACCTCTAAATTCACAGTCAAATTTTTAGTCAGGTTGTTTCCTGGTTATTATGGATTATAAGACTATAAAACTACAGTGAGAAACAAATAGGATCTAGACTTTCTCCCTCAAGTATGTATTTCATTAGGAATTAACTTATTTTAATGCCAAGGATTTAAAATATTTTACATTTGACAACTAAAAACACAGAGAACAATACTATAAGCCTCTCTGTGGAGGACATCAGTAAAAGCTACGAAGAATAGTCAAAACATCAGGTAGCCTCATTTCCTTCTTGCTGGGCCCACAGCATGACAGGATCGGTAGTCATGTGGTCTGGTACCGTCCGAAGGTGCGACAGGCAATGCTGCGATCAACTGTTTCTTCTTCTTTTTTTTAAATATTTTATTTATTTGGCAGACAGAGATCACAAGTAGGCAGAGAGGCAGGCAGAGAGAGAGGGGGAAGCCGACTCCCTGCTGAGCAGAGAGCCCGATGCGGGGCTCGCTTCCAGGACTCTGAGATCATGACCTGAGCCGAAGGCAGAGGCTTTAACCCACTGAGCCACCCAGGCGCCCCTGTTTCTTCTTTCTTTAAGAAGAAGGATACTGAGGGTGCCTGGGTGGTTCAGTGGGTTAAAGCCTCTGTCTTCGGCTCAGGTCATGATCCCAGTATCCTGGGATCGAGCCCCGCATCGGGCTCTCTGCTCAGCAGGGAGTCTGCTCCCCACCCCCCTCTCTGCCTGCCTCTCTGCCTACCCGTGATCTCTCTCTGCCAAATAAATAAATAAAACATTTAAAAAAAAGAAGAAGAAGAAGGATATTGAAATTCCCAGGATGAGGGACAGGAAATCTCCTTACCCTTCTCCAGTCGAGCCAATTTCATTGTTCAGGGCTTGTGATTCACAGACTCCCCTCTCCACCCACCCCCGACGTGTGCGTAGGGTTGGTGTCTTTCTTGCCGGCAGTAGGGAACCTGCTGTGGTGGGCTCCCGCGGCCACAGGAAGAGGGGCTCCCCTCGCTGAGGGGCCCGGAGGCGGGCCAGCCCTCCGTCTTGCGGGCGTCAGAGCTCTGGCTTCGGTTCTTCTCTTCGTAGCGGGCGTGGTTTTGGCCCCTCTTCTATCAGCTTCATCCTTTTGCTTCTTGGGAAATGCCCGCTGTTGGCGGCGGCGACCCGCTTCCCCTTTCCCGTCGGGGTACGGGAGACAGCCGGCTTCTCTCAACACCAGACGGAGGCGTCCGAGCCTCCCTCCAGACATGCGCGTTTGGGCCGTGCGTGTGTCGGCCTTACGCTCTGGAGCGCAAACGGATCAGGGTTTGTGTCTCTGGAGCAGAGGGTGATTGAATTCTCCCCCTCACGGCTTGTTGCCTCACGGTGGGGGGTGGTCGGACTGGCTGTGAGGGAGACGGCCGCGTGTCCCCCTCGGAAGTCTTTGCAGTGCGTCACCAACCTGTGGCTCCCTTTGCTGTCAAATGGGCCCCGCTCTTCACCCAGCTCCCAAGATCTGAAACCTGTAAGACTCAGACCCCTCCTTCTTCCTCCTCCTTCTTCCTCACATCCATGCCAGTTACCAAGGTCTGTCACCTCTACGTCTTGAATCTCGATTCCTGGTGCATCTCTCCGGCCCCACAGCTACTGCCCAGCCCAACCTCTTCCACCTGAGCAGCTGGCGTGGCCTCTAACCCATCTTTCGGCTTGTGCTTTCTTCCCCCATCCGTCCTTAGAAATAATGAACATCGTGAGCTGCACTATCTAACCTGGGAACTTGAACATGAGCAGTAACTTACCTCTATCTCTCTTGTCCCATCCCACTGACCGACACGTAACCAAGGTAAACCGAATTCTGATTTTGTGTTATCATGTTCTTGCTTCTTAAAGAACAGTTTTGTCCACATAGAGAGACATTAGCACAGTATTGTTTCATTATAATTATTTTTGCTAATTGTGAAAATAAAGTCACGCTGTCTGTATTATGACCTGACATTCTTTATGCAATAATAGCTTTTCCACATTTGTTCATGCAGCCTGCAGCTGTAGTTCGGTTATTTTCACTGTTGCCTAGCGCTCCGTTGTGTTACTGTACGTTCTGTGTTCTCCGGGTTCTGGTTCTGAGAAACAACACTGTCCAGCATGTTCTCATATGTGTGTCCTGGTGCATGCGTACAGGTGTTCGAAACTGCTCTCTTGGTCCTAACCTGAGGAATGGAGTTGCTCATTGGTAGGGGAGGTACACGAGATTCAGCTTTAGAGGACAGGGTCAAATTATTTGAACAAACTGTACCCATGCCTGAGAGAGCCTCTCGATCCACATTGTTTCTGTAAGCCTTACAGTTGTCAGATTTTTTGGTTTTTGCTAAGTGACATCTCACTGTTGTTTGATTTGCATTTTCTTGCCTCTCCAGCATGTCTTTGTGTGTACCTTGGCCAAATATATTACTTCTGTGAAGTGCCTGTGTGGTCTTTTGCCCACTCTGGTGTGTTGTTTCTTCTTCCTGTGGTGGTTTTAGGGGCTCTTTAGAGCCTCCTGGTAGCAGCCCTTTCTTGCTTATCTGTGTTGCACGTATCTTCTCTTTGTAGCTTGACTTTTTACTTTTCTTAGGATATCTCTTTCATAAAATGTTTACTTTTTTAAGTTATTTTTTGATTTTTATTTTTGGGGGGAAGGTGGGGTCAGGCAGGGGGAGAGACAGAGAATCGTAAGCAGGCTGCACACTCAGCGTAG